ACCCGTCCCGGCGGACGCACATCCGAGCCATCATGCTTTCTCTTGGCAGCCGCCATCTCGATGGCACCACGCCGTGCCCACAGTCGCTCGCACTTCCGGCCCCTTTGCACTTCCGGTTCGTGTGGGCGTCCGGTCCTCTCGCACTTCCGTCCCTTGCACTTCCGGCTTCCTCCGGAAGCGCTGTGGGAGCGGCGAAGTGGGCGCCATGCCGCTGTCCGCGCAGCCGCCTGCCAGCGGCGAGCCGTACGTCCTGGCCGCCAGCCTGGACAACGCCCGCCACCTCTCCAGCCTCCTCAGGGCCGTCCACTTCCAGGACCACGCTACCTGCTTCGCCACGGCCAACGGCCTCAGGGTGACGGTGGAGGACGCCAAATGCATCCAGGCCAACGCCTTCATCCAGGTGGGCGCTGCGCCCCCCGCCCGGGCTGCAGGCCAGGCTGCTGCTGGCGAGGCAACCCCTCCCCGGCGTTAGCGGTGCGGAGGGGCTGGTACCGCTGTTAGAGACCTTAGAAAGGCCCCAGTTACGTGGTAGAGGAGTTTTACAGCAAGTTTACCCGCAGAGAAGGGGAGACTTTACTGAAACCACGACATAGCTGTGGGGATCTGACGTGAAGGAAGTGCTGTGATGAGGCTGTGGTCATTTATGAGATGTCTGTGCTATTGAAAGACCGAGCTCAGTGCCTAGTTTGTTTATGCATGCCTGCTTTTGTGATGAGCTTGCACCCTTGTTTAATGTACTGGCACCTGCTAAGCCCACTGCTCCTTCTGACCAACCGTTCTTAGATGCATGAGCAAGTTCATAAAGTATCTGTCAGTCTTTGAGTACTTTTATTATGTTTCATCCGAAAGACAAAAAGTTGAATTTAAAAATTCTCTGAAAGGGAGTACAATTCACAGATGCTGGGCTAAACTGAGAGCTTCCAAACACAGGGCAGAAACGTGTTTCATCACAAGACTGGAGCGGTGATCTGCACCTTTCACTCTCTAATTCTACCTGTGCTGAACTTTGCCCAGAAAGGATGCTTGAGGGGTTATGTGCAGACAGAGCATCTCAGCTACAGTGAACTGTACATATAGGCAGCTTTAAATAGCAATCTAAATTATTTCTTCTTAACTTGCATTTAATGTAAGATCAAAAGCAGCTTTGCTTGCTTTTCTGCTACTTCTTTTGTAGCTGTGACTGCTGATTTTGCTTCATTTTAATTTTTTAAGGCACACTTTTAATTTTTTCATCTTTTAACAATTGTTTACTTTCTGAGTGGTTTTGTTTATTTGTTTGTATTTAATACCTATCCGACTTGTAAATGCTTTGTTCATAAGAAGAGACATCATGCTGGTTCTTGTTTTTGAAAGCATGTATGGTACTGGAGATGTAAATGGAAGGGGTGAGGAATATTTTATGGTAGTAATTTTACCCTTCTCTTTAGAGTCTGTGTCTTTGCTATCTGTGAAACCACAGCCTGAGCTGTGTGTGAAAGGGCAGAAGCCTGAGGCTCCCTGTTCATGCGTTTCCCCTTGCTTCCTCCTGCTTCTTGCTGCACGGTCCTTGTTTATATCAGTGCTGTATTTGTTTGGTTAGCTTTCTGGTATTTGAGTGAGTTAAAGTGGTTCATGAAGCGACCAGCGCGTGCTAGTGAAAGTTAAGCAGTGGGCACATATGGGCTGGAGCAGAGGACCAGTGATTGGAGGTTCCTTTGACAGTGTTGAGCTGTCAAGTATAGAACAGAATAGTTCCAGTTGGAAGGAGCTTACAACGGTCATCTGTTCCAAATGCCTGACCACTTCAGGGCTGACCAAAAGTTAAAGCCTGTTGTTAAGGGCATTGTCCAAGTACCTCAGAAACACTGACAGGCATGGGGTGTAGACCACCTCTCTAGGAAGTCTGTTCCAGTGTTTGACCACCCTCTCAGTAAAGAAATGCTGCCTAATGTCCAGTCTGAACCTACTCTGGTGCAGCTTTGAACCATTCCCACACGTCCTGTCACTGAGTCCCAGCGAGAAGAGCTCAGCACCTCCCTCTCCACGTCCCCTCCTCAGGAAGCTGCAGAGAGCAATGAGGTCGCCCCTCAGCCTCCTTCTCTCCAAACTAGACAAGCCCAGAGTCCTCAGCCGCTCCTCACAGGACATGCCTTCCAGCCCTCTCACCGCCTCTGTTACCCTCCTCTGGACACATTCAAGGACCTTCATGACCTTCTTAAGTTGTGGTGCCCAGAACTGCACCCAGTGCTCAGGGTGAGGCCGCACCAAGGCTGAAGACAGGGGGACGATCCCCTCTTTTGCCCGGCTGGTGATGCTGTGCTTGATGCACCCCAGGATGTGCTTTGCTCTCTTGACTGCCAATAAAAATGTGTAACTGCTTTTTCAAAAGCACCTCACATCACCCTGCTTTATTTCTGAGTTACCACAAAGCAGCTAGTGCCCTATGGCAAACGGGGTAGCCTGGAGTAGATTACCCCTACAGACTAGTCAAAGGCATGTTTCAGCGCATTTCAGTGTGGTGAACTCATTTCATGTTGTGTTCCATTCTTACGTATTTTTGTTATTTGAAATGTTTGTTCATGCTCCGAATGAGGAAAAGGAAGTAAGTAATGTTTCTGGAGAAGGGTGATACCTTGTGTAATTGCCTGAATGTTTCCAGCACCAGAAGTAGGCGGGCTAGGCTTTAACATTTGTAGCTTAGTTTTACAGCTATGAAAGACAAGTGTTTACATTTCTCATGCTTATGCCATGCTACTTTGTTTCAACTGTGACCTGATTTTACTTCATCAGTTCTGAGGTTGAAGAACCGTTTTTCTTTAGTCGATGTTCTATTACGTGTAGAAATCACTTTGTATTGCACAGATCTCTGAAAGGGAAAGTGCTGAATTTAAGGAAATAAGTGTAAACTGTAAAACAACTGCAGAAACTTCCCTCTCTTCATCTCTTTCCTTTCTCTCTCAGGCAGAAATTTTTCAGGAATTTGCTGTTCAGGAGGAATCGGTGACATTCCGAATCAATTTGTCTGTTCTTCTCGACTGCTTGACCATTTTTGGCACCAGTTCTTTGCCAGGTATCGTGGGTATTTACCTTGACAGTGTATGTGTATTGCCTGTAATCACATAGTGGAACCTGTACAAAACTGTAGGGAGGTTTCCAGTCTTGGAAAAACTTCTGACTTCCTCACCTTAAGTCCTTCTGAGCATGGCAGCTATTGCTGTTAAGCAGGATCCATCCTGTTTTCTTAAGCTAATACAAGTGTGTGCTGTGGTAACAGTCAGTGGAGACAAGAAAGGAGCTGATGGATGTGAGCCTCACCAGTGTGTCAGGGACCTCTGAAGCAGGAGAGGCTAAAGGAGGCTGATTCAGTTTGGAAGATGGAATAAAGGTATTTGTCTGTGTGGTGCTATTGGGATAACTGAAAAACAGAGGAGTCTTCCTATGAAGACAATGTTTCCTGAATCTGTGTAAGGCACAAAAGAACCACTTGTTTTGGGAGAGAACCATTTTGTGGCATGAGGTCCAGTGAACAGCCCCAGCTTCTACCCTTGCTCTGGTTTGGGGCTGAAGATATCAAATAGCTTCTGTAATCTTGATAAGAAAACATGTCAAGTAATTTGTTCAGGCATCTTTGGCAAGTTGTGTGATGTATAGGCTGGAGTTCTGACCCTGAGGCCTGTGCTATACCGTAGGACTGACGTGCCATGACTCCCTTTCCTGTCGATCTGTTTTCAGTCCAGGACCCAGATCACCCATGTCACACAAATGCTAATTTGTTCCCCAGCACCCTTCACTTGAGGGGAAAACCCAGCTACAACTGGCAGAATAGTTCCTCTGCAGCCGATTCAGGGTAGTCAGTATGGATGTAGGGAGCACCCAGGTTCCCTCTACTAGGGACGGTGCTTCACACTGTCACGTGCTTTTAAGTGGCCAGCATCAGGCTAAAAGACTACTGCTTGGGCAAGCTAGGGCAGCCTCTTGCCAGACCTGCCAGTTTGAGCTGAAAAAGCACAAAAGCTGTCAGTACATCTTAAGGCCACAGGGGATCCACATTGGGCTTACAAGACACACTAATTGCTGTGAACTGTAGCAGAGATCAGCACACTGAGAGACAGTATAGGTGTAGCTTGGAGTTTGTCTTGCTAACAAAAAAATTTGTATCAACTTAGTAATACATGTAATCTCTTTTCCAATATTTCTGTGGTTTGTACAACCCTGGAACATCCAGCTACCTCAGGAACATTAACAATGTATGTGTGAATTAGGAGACGTTCTGGTGCAGATTTACTTGGCTTGAAGAAGTCTGCAGGGGTTCCAGGTAGCACCATCAGTTCACTGTGCTCCTGCTCCCAGTGCAATAGCTGTTATATGGCACCTTCTGTTCCTTCCCTTCTTCAGGCTACACTTGCGTTTGTTTTGTGAGTATTATCTCCAGCTTGCAGATAAGGTACTGAGGAATGATACTTCTCTAAGGTCTCACAAGAATTCTGCAGCTGGATTGGGTAGCGCTTCAGGTGCTGTAAGAGCACTTTAGGTCTTGCTTATCAAGTGTGTGAATTACAAAAGTCAAGTAGACTGTATTACTGATCCTGTTTGTTCTCTTTTAAGTGACAGAGGTGTGTGGGAAGCTGCCTTCACAATTATGTACACTGATATTGAATTACATGAACCCATTTGTTTAAACAGAAAAACCCCAAGTCTTAGCAAATTTTATTTCCTATAAATTAATTCTTTTTTTTAGTTGATGGTTGTTCAAAAAATATTTTCACAAGCAAAAATAACTACAAATTAGCATGACTGTACGGATGCTACAGGATGCATTGTGTACTCACAGGGAGCAGGATGATACCATGACAGAGTTTTTGGACAGTCCTACTGTTGCAGCTGTGTGTTGAACTCCACATTCCTCTGCTGTTTCTGTTGTGACTCTAAGCTAAAGACCTAAGTCAACTGTACTAAACAGCGCCCTGATTTTGGGAGTCCAAACATTCAGATTATACTTACCTAGGAGAAGGAGGATGTGACCATAATGCAAGCTAAGCTGCGTTAACTTCAGTTTGGATTGCAAAAGTAACAAGATTAGTAAAGAAGGATAGTGTGAGCCAGAGAGAGCCTCAGGACCATGGAGGATATTCCAGTTCCACTAAACTATTTGTAGCATATCCAGCTTCATTGTCATGCTAGTGTTACCCATTTGGTACGTGGAAGAATTGAACTGGTGTCTACATATAAATCTTACAATTTTGCTGCATAACTGTGAGCGCTTCATAGGGCATCTAGGAGGCTGCGCTAGGCGTGCTGCACTAGTGTATTGGACTCTGGACCAAACATGCTAAATCAAATTGATCTGTGCCCGATATGCCAGCAAAATGTGAATTTTCTAAAGTGATCAGATGTGCTAGCTAGCACTCTGAAGAATGTATATTTCATTGTCTTTTTCAGGAACATCAACGGCCCTTAGGATGTGTTACCGTGGTTATGGTTATCCCTTGATGCTGTTCTTGGAAGAAGGAGGAGTAGTGACAGTGTGCAAAATTAACACTCAAGAACCTGATGAGTTGTTAGACTTTGATTTCTGCAGTACAAAGGTTGTTAATAAAATTATCCTGCAGTCAGAGGGGCTACGAGAAGCATTTGCTGAACTGGATATGACCAGTGAAGTTCTGCAGATTACCATGTCTCCAGATAAACCCTACTTCAGGTACTGGAAACTACAATTTCTAATCAAATATTCATGTTTGGCCTCCATTGGTAAGGACTGGAAGTTTTCAGGATGAAGAAGGGGGAGCTATTTTAGAATATTGCTTTATTTGAAGAAGAATTGTAATGAGTGTAGCAAATCACAATATGTAATCTAATTAACATAGTAATGAATATATTGACAACCAGGTAAATGTGACACTGATGCAGATGGTTTAGCATTTTTAATTAAATAAAGCAACAGAAAAAATACTGTTTTGTGAAACAGCTATTGCGTTATGCAAGATGACTCATTCTGTTGAGTTTTTAGAGGGCTGTGATCAGGTATTTTGAGATGGTGACTTTTGCCTTCCAGGTTATCCACTTTTGGAAATGCAGGAAGTGCACATCTGGACTACCCTAAGGACTCTGATTTGATGGAAGCATTCCACTGTAACCAGACCCAGACAAACAGGTTAGGAAGTCTGTGATCAGTGCCTTCTGTGGCAGTTCACGTGTTCTTGCTGGAAAGTTTAAAAAACTGTTTTTGTGTTACTGTAACATTTATTTCACAAGTATGGAGGCAAAAAAAGTACTTCCCATCTGATAAAAGTCTCTGTGTGTGATCATAAACGATACTAAGCAATGATAATGTCTGTCCAATGTTGTTACCAGGAAAAGATCAAATTAGATCAAATTAGCATGTTGCTAATTGTTTTTTAGTTATCCTGTGGCTTTAATTTGGAGTAATTTTCAGTGCCTCTCTGTACAGTGTATTTTTTTCAGATTACTTTTCTTTTTTCCCTGCAGATACAAGATTTCTTTACTTAAACCATCTACAAAAGCACTGGCTTTGTCTTGTAAAGTCTCCATTCGAACAGATGCTCAAGGATTTCTTTCACTGCAGTATATGATTAGGAATGAAGATGGACAGATCTGTTTTGTGGAATACTATTGTTGCCCTGATGAGGATATTACTGAAGCAGAACTGTAGGTGTATGTTGTTTTGGCATCTATATTCTATTATGGATTTATAAAATGCTATATTTTTTTATAAAACTGAATGAAAGCTGTAAAGATTGATAGACTTGATATGGTCTTCTTTTTTTAACTCTAGAATTAGAAATATGAAGACTTCCTTTTTATTCTCTTGCAAACATTTCTTAGCCTTGACTCAAAAAACTGAAGCTGAAAAAGGAAAAAGGGGAGTTGCTCTCCTATAACCACTGCTTCCAGCACAGATGTTAAAGTAGTGTTTGTGTAATACGTTGCTGCTTTTTACAGTGTTCTCCAAGAATTTTTGTTGGTGTTTTGTTTTTTGTCTTTGGCTTGCTCTAAGCAATTACACAAGGGAAAATCTGAATACTAGCTGTATGTTAGCCAGTTAACTTCCAATGACTTAAAAATAAACCCAAATTTGTCTTGAAAGAGGATCACATTTTCAAACTGATTTCTTAATAGCAGCAGGTGGTTTCTTTCTGGCAAATGCTGACATGTTTTACTGGTGAAGCTACTAGGCTCCTCCTCATCTTGATTAATTCTTAATATAACTCAATTCCTTGGAATTTCGTCTGATACCAATTTACCCTGTTGTCTGCAGTGCTGGTGTTGAATTGTTAAATTAAGATAGAAACCAGGATTTACTTACTCATTACTCACAACTGTTCTGGCAACATTATTATTTTGTATCTAGTAATTTATTACGCATTCACAAGAATGCGGCTGCTGAAATGTTTCTGTATGTACATGTGCCTGTTCCTACCCTGCTACTCTCTGCTAATGCTGTTAAGAATCCTAAGAAGAGAGAAAAGTTTCATATTTGAAATTATTTGTGAAATTAATTTACCTTCTCAATAGCCTTTTTTTAAGCAGCAGGAGAGACTCCTAAACTGAAGTAAACTAATGTCTGCCTGTGTCCCATGGAGTGGTGTATTCATATCACTGCTAAAAACGGGCCTAACCTCTTACTGAAAAGGGAGTGCGGTTTCTGGAGAGTTTTCTGCAGTGGTCGACTTTGCAAAACAGTGAGGTGGGCTGTACTTGGGTCAAAAGCTGCACGTCCACTTTCGCAGCTCTACGTTGCACACAGCCTGCTCAAAACAGGAGGTTGATCGAACCAGCTGGGCGTTGTACCAGATGCAGAGACTTGCAAATGAGAATTGCAAGAGGCTGAAGCCTTCCTGCCTTGCTGCCATCGGATGCGACTCAAGGGTCAGCGGCCTGTGGGTAGTTTCTACAGCTTTAGAATGTAGTCAAGTTTTGTTCTTTGTCAGAAAGATGAGGTCGTGCTTTGCATATGTGGAAAACAGTATGTTCATGTGTTACTGAGTTGATTGCTCCACAATTCAACAGAATCCAAGTACTTTGGGTTTATTTTAAGTTTAAAATGCTTTTGTTGACCATTTTTCACCTCTTGCTTATGTCAGCAAGAGTATACTTTCAGAGTACACAGTGTCAGCAGTTCACTTTTGCTGTCTTCTGTGCAGATCATCCATTTATTGCAATAAATTTTACATTTAAAAAACAATTATGAATCTTTGAAATACAGGACCGGTAAAGATACCCAATAATATTCTAAATTACTGTTATTTACCTTTTTTTTTTTTCTTCTTCAAACTTAAGCATTCAGTATAGGTGAATTTCCTTTTGGCTTACTGTCTCAATTTCTTCAGGGGAAAAAAAAAATTATTATGGTCTCATTGGGAGTTAATATTATCCATGACTACTGAGTGTTAAGAATGATTTACGTAATCTCTGGGTGACAGGATAAAAATTAAACAGAACACATCACTTTCTTAGTGTGATTTATTTTAGAGCATCAAAGTTCCTGGTATTGTGTTCAAGAACATTACTGTGGTTTAACATTTGTATTTTTATATAATTGCCTACAGATGTACTACATTACTTCTTAGAATAGTACTTTTAACAGTTTCTTCTATAACCTACCAACAGTGATCACGGAAATAATATCCTAAGAAGTTAGAACGCCACAAAATACCAGAAAGTAACTGTTGCATTTCGTAAATAATAGCTATTGCAGACATGCATGATTTGTGCAAGACTTACCATCTGTACCCCAACTGGGCTAAGTCAGGGCGTAGACTCAGAAAGGTGGGGAGGTGCTTGTGCACCTCGTGCCTTTGTGGATATGGTTCTAGGTGGACAAAAACATGGCAAGTTTGGGCTACAGACTCCTTGCAGTAAGGCAAAGAGTGGATTTATGTTCCAGCTGTGGTGGATTCTATTACATCTCTGCCTTCAAACACGGTAAAACAAGAAGGGTGAAGAGAATGACTGGAAGGCTACTGTGCATCTTTTTGACCTGGTAAGTCACTTAAATTCTGCAAACCTCCACTCTTAGATTAGATTTAATTTCCTGCCACACTTTGCATGAGATCCAGAACTCAGGTGACTACCTTTACTGCGTTTTCTCTCTTCTACTTGACAAGTCTTTTCCCCTTGCAGACAACAGGAAACCTGCAGCAGAAGAAACATCCTAGTTCATGTTTTCTCCTTTAGTAGTATCACAGAACAGACTTGTCATGACTCAAATTTTGGCCACCTGCTTCTTATAAAATGGTACATATAAGTAATCAGAATAACTGGTGGTTTAAACTAAAAACATTTCCTGGAGGTGGGAACTGGAACTACCGTTTTCCACCCAAGTTCAATATAGCAGTAGTAGGTGCTGCCTGGCTGCTCTGAGTTACTGCATTTGCAGCTCTGGGCAACTCAGAGGCCACGGAAGTGACTTTTCCTCCAATTATTTTGATTCGTGTTTTTCTGAGTAAAAATTGACCTCAAGTCTTCAAGAAGGCATTTCTTTTATTTTACCTGAAAACCGTTACCAATAAGCCTTGGGTCCCATCAGTCTGCTAAGATACTGGAACCCAAAATAATGACTTTGGCTCCTGGTCCTGACAATCTTTATGCGACAGAACACCAGCGATGCCAGTGCTAATGTTACCTCTTGCCTCTCAACATGTTGAGAAGTTCTTGTGTCTCTCTGGCTTTCACATGTCGAGGCCTAGCCACAACCGTTTGTATCTGTAAAGACTGTTGAGCACAAAATTCCCCAAAAGTAATCGAGTTCTATACCTTTGTTTCAAAGTTAGTCATGGGAAAGAGTCAGTTGCTTAATTATGTGTGGATTTATAAGGAAATATATTCTACTTTTGACTAGATGGGTCTTTAGTGAGGTTAGCAGAGTTGTTGGAAAAGTTGAGATAAGCTACATGCTGTTTCCTTTAGGTATCTGTTTTGTACTTTTTTGTAGCAGCTTGTAAACCCGTAAGAATCCAGCAGGTGGGTCTTACCAAAATGAGTGTGTAGAAATTATATAAATAATTAACACTGAACAGTCCTTTTGATGGTAGAACACTAACATTAAACTGAACAAATACGAAATTAATTTTAAAATTGAGCTGTTACAGAACAGCTTGATGCCTTCCCATTGAGACGGAAACTCACTTATAAATGAATCTGAGGGAGGGCAGGACCACTTTGGTATAAAGGGAAGCTGAGGGACACAAGAGGCTGCTTCTTTCCTTAGCTGGGCTCTAACAACTAAAAGGGTAGTGCATTAGGGTTGCTAAATCTAATTGTAAGAGCTCTGTAAGGGAGTGAGTGTTGCAGGGAAATGTAATCAGGTGCCCACACAGCTCTCATCTATTTGTGGAGTTAATAGACAGTGAGAAGTGGGCTTGAACATCCACCATGAATGTGAATGTCATTCTATGCCAGTATCCTTGGCCTCCATGGAGAAATACACCCAAAGGAAGTCTGGAAAGATCTGAACTGCACAACAAAGAAGCCCAGGAAAATCTCCCCTTTTGTTATACTATTGAAAATCTGCCCCAACGAAGGGCAGAGAGATGGTGGGAATCTCACTCCCTCCAAAGGAATGGCATGCAGCAGCATTTGGTGAGTTCAGGTCAGCACTTCCAAAATCCCCTGAGCCCAGTCATTTATTTTGCAGATCAAAAACCCAGAGAGCCACCAGTCAAAAACTAGATGTTCAGCTTGGCTTCTTGATGGCTGGCTCTTGCGGATGAGCCTGGAGGGGGTGTTGGGTTTTCTAGTCTCCTGGTGTGAGGCTCAGGGAAGGGATGATGAAAGCTATCCATGGAGAATTTAGCAGCCTCCTACCCTTCCAGCTCAGATTGGACCATGGGGTTAACCAAAAATGAGCAAGCCAGCAGAAAGCTGGAGGCCTTGGTGCCTTATTTCCTTTATTTCTCTAATTAGATAACAAATCTATCTACATATGTGTGGATTTTACCCCATAAATGCCAAGAGAGTGCAGCAATGGATTTGCAGCATGAAGAGACGCATGAATCCACTCCACCCAGCCAGGCAGTAACTGCAGGGGGTTTGCAGCAACACCAAACTGCAGTGTCTCGCTCTGCTTGAAAACCAGACAGCTGTCCAAGGAGACAGACTCCTCTTAAGATTGCATCCGCAGCTCAGCACAGTCCAGAAATGAGAGGAGCAAGCATTTAGGTGCAAAGCTGCTCCCACAAACTGATGCAGCGCAGACTGAGTGCCCTGGTGCTGGTTCCCAGGCCACACTGACCTGTGCAGACGCTGCATGAGATGCTCCTGGGCATGGAGGGGCTCTGGGACTGCACAGCCAGGGTTTGCACTGCGGAAACCTCACCTTGCAGATTACAGGGCCACCTGCAAAGAGGAGTGGGCTAATCCAGAGCTGTGCTGGGCAGTTATTTGCAACTACTGCTGATTAGCCTCAGCCAGCACCATGGCAGGGCCCATCTCAAGCAGTGTAATGATAGGGGTGGTCTTGTTCCAGCATTTGAAAATATTCCTGGCCACTTGTATAGGTGTGGCCCGATGAATCACCAAGAACATGTTTCTTCTCCTCATAGTTTTACAATAGTCTCTTTACCCCAACAAAGAGAGACATTCACTCTCCTAATAAACTAAATAGAGGCATGAAACAGGTTTCAGAGGAGCTGGGGTAAACCCAGGCTGTTGCCTGCTCACAGCACAGGGGCATGTGTCCCCTGCAAGCAATCACTCTGTGGAGGTGACCAAGGGTCCCGGGCAGGCATGAGC